CAGAATTTGAAGCCTTCATGGTGGGAACCGAGCCATGTCATTTTCGCGACAATCATGTCCTGGAATCGCATATACAGACCCAGACCCGCGGGCTTGGGACATATCCGTGCCTCCACCGAAGATAGAACCAATCCGGTGTCGTTCCCTGCAATCAGTTCATGCGATACTCCGGTGAAGGCCAGCGCGTCAGTGCTGATCCCGTATTCGGGACCGTGGTGGAATCCGCGCATGGCTAGGTGGAGATGAGACCAGTGGAGTCTATAGCCACAATGGGTGCTGCGCCCATCGTGTATGGGCATCCGCACATAATTATGTGCAATTGGAACTGGCCAGAATCTAGCCGTTTGCATGCAGCCGAGGAGGGGTGGGTAGTAGGGTGATTGCCTTTGAACTAGCGGGTCTGGGATCCGCAAAGGCTCTGGGATTCTTTTGAAATGATGGAGAACTAAGCAGTCGTCGCATGCTAAGTATCTTGGATTATCACTTTCGAGCCGGCGTAAGAAAGGCAACAGGACTTCTGCTCTCAGTTTGTGCTTTGTCTGACTTTGGAATATTTTGAGAAGTCGATGATTGCAAAGTGAGAGGCTGTATATATCCTCCCGGGGAAGAAAAAATGCTACTAGTAGCACTAGCTCAACAGGAAGGACGTCTAGTAAATCCAGTCCTAGAACTTCCGGGGTAGGATAGGTAGCAAATGTGGGTTCGAGATCCTGGTTTATATCTTGGGCTGAGGAAGAAGACATAATAGGAATGGTCTGAAGGGCTTTCTCGGTGCTAGGAGGGTTTGTTTTCGTCAAAGCCAACATTGTGTATGATATACCTGTGTAGATAATGAGAGTAAGCGTACTAGGCAATGAGAGTAATCAAAGAAGAAATATTATCAGATTAGAAGAATATGAAAAGGCAGAAAAGACCTCGGGTTGCGAGGAGTTTATAACTCAGGCTACGAGTGAAAGATGATGAGAGTATAGTCCCAAAAAGGCTTAACACGAATATAAAAGACCTTGGAACCTATAAATGGTAGAAGTATATCCATGGGTATCTATAAATATATCTATGAATAAATATTTTTGAATATATCATACGTGGAGAGAGATATCGAAAGGGAAGACAGATGTCACCAGCTGACTGCTTTGTATATATAGACTGAAAGAAAGCCTGGTCTGTAGTTAGTGTAACAATAAAGATATACATCCAATTTTAAGCTACATTTCATGTCTTTCCAAGTCGATCGTGTACAGAGATCACACCGCACACCCCTACCTAAAAATGCCTGATTCTGTCAGATTCCTGAAGCAGAAAGTGAGAGTGGCGAGTGAAGCGGCAAAAGGGCCCCTTCGGGATCCGCAATGTAATTTGTAGAGGATTCTTCGGGATCGCCCTGGAATGGAACGTTATAGAGGGTGAGGACCCCGTATAATATGGGGTGTCCGCGCCTGTGTGAAACTCTTTCGACGAGTCAAGTTGTTTGGGAATGTAGCTCTAAATGGGCGGTACATTTCATCCGAAGTTCAATATTGGCCGAGGACTGATAGTGCATAAGTAGAGTAATTGACAGATAAAAAGCACTTTGAAAAGAGAGTTAGAAAGCGTGAAATTGTTGGAAGGGAAGCGTACTTCCACGGTCCTATGTACAAATAAGGTTGTGGGGCCGCTATTGTTTTGGGGTGCGGCTCATTTCTAGCCAATAGTATTGAAGGTAGTATATACTATGACGTAAGATAACGACCCATAGATCCTCAAAATTCAAAAATGGCTTCCCTTTCGCTATGCCCAACCCTCTCTCTCCATGTCAGAAAGACTGAAATAGAGAGTATGTACATATATATGATACGAAATAATTCCACCAACGTGTATTGATAGATATATTTCTAGATATCCATGGAATTATACGATACCTAGGGGTATGAGAGACATCAAGGTTCAAAAAAAAAAGAAAAGCCACCAAGCCCAGGATTCGAACCTAGATCACCTGGGAGCCCTGAAGGTCAGAGGTTACGTCCCTCAGGTGTCCTACCATTAGACTAACTTGGCTGTGTTATTGAGGAGTTCCCAAGTCTTGATGAATATGCAGATATTGATGCTCATACAATTGGAAAGGCAAAATATTCCCGTTTATCAATGGACCATCACAAGGCAGGAAGGGGCATTTTAGAAGGAAGGAGGAGAGGAGGAAGGAACGGAGTAAGGGAGGGAGGAAGGTGAGGGTCTCCAGACCGACGCCTTCCTCATTGTAAGAAGGGGGAAAAAAGAGGGGCGGACTAAGCGAAGATCACGTGACACACTGGTTAGGCTCAGCTGAGACTCAGTGGCGTGCTTAGGTCTACTCAGTGGGCAAAAAGCAGCAAGGCCTGAGCACTAATACGGAAAGAGAACGCCAAGATGTAGTAGAGGAAATCAATTACATAGGTCCTGACCGATGGAAATCACGATCTTCTACACCATTGCAGTGCTAGTACTTGGAGTCAGTTTACTCACGCCCCGGACCTTTGAGAGGAGATTTTTGGGCAAGACGGCTGGCCATGCTTACGGGCTCAGCGAAAACCCCAGGAGAACGCTAACGAATGATAAGTTTGACGCTGCTTTCCAACATAATATCACTGCCAATATCTGAGGGATTTCATGAGATGAAGCATGGTTTACACCTTAGAGTCACTCTCCAATAAAGATCTCCGAGTAAAAAAGCATTACGGATACGCTGCTTCAATTTGTAAGATCGGATGTATATGCAAGCCTGGGCTTTACAATCTAGATAGGTCTTTGGCTTCAGATGCCATCTCACAGCCGGTGCCTATCTGAAGATTCATCTAAATCCTCTACCTATACCCTACTTAGCTCATGATATGATCTATCAATTCAATATGTTAGTGGTATCTGAAGTATGGTTGCCTAAAGCGGTTAGATCAAAATCATATGACCCGCTATCTTATCGCCACTAATTCATCCACCTCTCTTCCAGGTTTCATTATTCTCTCCCTCAGCCTTTGCTCTACAAACATGGCGTCTCCCCCTTCGCAGGAGCTGGTCAGGCAATCTGCTGGCCAGCTTATGCCTCCACCACCACCTCCGAAGCGAATCAAACGCCCTGCAACTGTCCTCGACGAAGACGTCTACACGAACACTTTGTCCCACATTATTGCTCGCGACTTTTTTCCGGGCTTGCTCGAGACACAGATCAAACAAGAGTACCTGGAAGCCCTTGAATCGAAAGACAAAGCATGGATTGCAAGCTCCAAGAAGAAGTTGGCAAGCGTCATGCGCACGCCCACCCCGGGGTCGAATGCAAGACGAAAATCAGACTATGCATCGGCGCCGGCCACACCACATCATTTCCCGGCCGGACGCCCGGGTGACACTCCGCATGGCTGGGGAGGTGATACCCCCATGTCCGTCGTATCGACTTCCACAGCGGCAACCGAAACAGAAGACCGGCATATTCCCGATGTATCGAATTTGGGACTGGTCGCCTTCCAGGCAAAGTATACCAGCGAAGACAACGAGTCCTTCAACAAAGTCCTTGACAAGCAGAATGAAAAGCGACGGGAGAAATACCCCTGGCTTTGGAGCGGGAACAAAATTCCCTCGGCCCGACAAATTGCACACCAGCAACAAGAAATCAAGCGCATCACGGCTCAAGGCGGAAACCCGCAGATGGGTCTTATTAAACGAGACGAGTATGCCCAGCCCGCCATCAAAACAGACCTGGATGCCCGTCCTGCAAATCCAGACACATGGAAAAGCCGCCCGGATAACACCCTCATGTTCCTCCCCAACTCGGTGGAGGATACCCACGAGACACTCCCGCAGAAAGCAGAAATTACATCCCGAGCAGGCCCCAAGCGAACTCTCTACCAAAATACCAGACTCCTAGACCCACATGCCGCAGCAGCAGCGGACGCCGCCAACGCCGTGCCCCCTTCACCCTCTCTATCCGCCATCCAAGATGCCATCGCCGGCCGGCCGCGTCTCAGCGAGTCCGAAGCTGCATCCGCCTTCGCAGGAAGCGAAACCCCGAGGGTTAACGGATACGCCTTTGTCGACGAAGACGAGCCCGAACCTGAATTTACATACTCTAGAACCGACGACATGGAAGCCGACTGGCGCCTCCTCGGACCGACCTCTGAAAAGCCAAATCCCTTCAAACTTGGCGAGACTCGCAAGCGCGAAGCCCTGCATCACCGCATGGTCGATCGTGTGGCGCGGAACAAGCGTGCTGAAAAGGCCGCCCGTGTTACGAAGACACCTGTCTCGTTGACACCGCGCTTTGGTAGTAGTCCCCGGCTGGATTTTGGATCTCGGTCTACTCCTGGTGCTAGCTCTAGTAGGGGCTCTGTCTCCGGTGGAGGGTATTCCCAGGGAAAGATGCTTACGCCTGCAGCGCAAAAGCTGTTGCAGCAGGTTGGAGGGACGCCGAGGTCTGAGCGGAAGTCTGCACTGGGGAATGTTTGGACGCCTACGCCGAAGCGAAAATGATGGCAGTTTATGGCTCGACTTTATATATTTTTTAGCTGCATGATACCACGGAGTTGATAGACTCGAACGGCGTTTCGTTTCTTTGGATGTCTTTCTCCCCGGGAAACAATCACAGATACCGGTACTGGACGTATTGTTACTTTTTTAGCCAAAAAATGCCAATTATGCCTTATTATATGAATACCAGTTCAGGCAACATAGACCAAGTCCTAAACATAGGAGTCGGTGGACATCGGAACGAACAGGAACCGCACGAAAACAGTTCTTAGCCGGTCCCGGTACTTCTTCGGCCTTCATGGTCTTCTCATTCCATTCTTTATTGCAACGACGTGCCTATGAATATTATACATCTTTGCGCAATTGAAGATTTAGAGGATTAGATTTGGCCTAGAATTTGTGGGTTTGCGTTAGTTAACTATATCAATTCTTCAAACGTTCCTAACGCGATAACAGATTTTGAATTGAGACTAAATTGGTCTTCATATGATTCAATTTGCTTGTATTGATTTCAATATCTGTATATCAAAATGAGTATCGAGACATCAGAGAGTCAGACTGCTTCATCGGCATCAACATCTGGAAATATCACCAAAGCCAAAGAGATCATTATACCGACAGAGACACCAACAACAGAAGAAGAACAAGAGAAAGAGAAAGAGAAAGACACATCCACATCTTCAATATACTCCCCAGCAAACCTCCTTTCAAGTCTGCTCGCTCCATTCTCTTTCTCGGCCAAGTCTCCAGAGCCAACCACCGCAATATCCCCAAGCAACGACAAAGAGAAAGAGAAAGAAAAAGAGACAATCAAGAGTCCAACTAAGATATCAATCGAAGCCCCAACATCAGACTCAGACTCAACTACACAACCCACCCCAGAGCCATATTACACTCCTGAAGAAACACCTCTCTACAAAAAGCTCTACAAGACCCGTCTAACAAGAACCCGCACAAAACAACTCCTCCGCGCAGGAGAACGGGGGTATAATGACCCGCCGCCTCCACTAGGACTGGGTGATTGCTGTGGGAGTTCGTGTGATCCCTGTGTAAGGGATTTGTGGAAGCAAGAGATTGGGATTTGGAGGGAGAGATGGGGGGATAGGGCGGTTGAAGAAGGGGAAGGAGTCTTGAAAGAAGAGAAGAAGAGTGAGAAGAAAGAAGAGAAATTGGGGAAGAGAAAAGACCTGGAGTGGTGATTTGTTTGTTACATGTGTATGTACTATTTGCTCTATGATATACAAGTCCAAGCGCAATATTTAGGTGCACAGGAGAACTAGGTCGAGCTCTTGCTATCTAGAGGAGACAAGAACAAGAAAAGAAATAACTGAGAATCCAAACAGCACAAGTACACAGTGATCATACCTATCTACAGCAAATACATAATTCCCATAACCACCAAGCTAGTCACCCAACCACTAGCCCCCAGCTTTTCCCCAAGACTCAAATAATACACAGCCCCGAGATAAGAGCAGGTAATAATACCCTCTGAATTCCGATAGCCATAGGAAGAATTCATCCACGCGCCCTGAGGACACCCGAAGCCAAGGGCAGAGGGACAATCCTTAACAAGGGTATGACAGATATCCTGACAGGGAAGGATCTCCTTATAGGGACCCGGCATGATCTGCTCATCGATGATAGGATTGCGGGATGTATTCGACGCCACGGACTGGCGGTACGGACTGTCATCCGGCAGGGAAGAGCCATTGATGAAGGCCTGGCCTGCGTTACGGACGGCTAGGTACGTGGCGTTGCTACTGTAGTCTGCGCAGCGGGGGATTGTGACGCCGCAGAGCCATTGCTTATAGGCTTTTGCGCAATCGTCGCAGTCCACGGCGAGGGAAAACATCGATTCTTCGCTTGTTTTGCATTGGATTTGTTGGAGGGAATAGGTGAAGTTCTGGTAGAAGGCGGCGGCGTAGTCGTCGTAGATTGTGCGGAGCTTGTCGACGCTTAGTTTGGGGTTGGAGGGGACTGCGTATGCGACTTCTGAGCAGAAGGTTAAGTTGAATAGCACGGCGCAGTTCTCCTCTGGAGGATTGTTAGATAAGGTCACTTTTTGGTATGGATTGTTTGGGCTTGCTCACCTGCTTTGGTCGTGAAATTCATCGGTCGCCATACCTTACCGCCGCCGCCGATGATGCCATTTCCGGACGTGGTCGAATTGCCCACCATTGCCAGAAGACCGCTGTACGATGAACTTCGGTTTAGTCCAGTGATATAGAATTGTTCCTTGGGCTTATTCCCAAGTCCGCGATTGGTCATGCCAACCTCGGTTGAACTACTTATTCGGCCCACCTGCGAAAGCGCATCGAGAGCGCAGAATGATTTCTCCAAGCCCTGCAGTGCCGTATCGTTGATATTGTGGGCAAACATAGTATACGGAGGGACGATGTCCATCCATTGCTGGTAGTTTGTCGAATTCTTCGCAGACTGAGTCAAGTTGTTCGTCACCAGCAGCGCGGCCGACGTGTCCGCGTCGATGAAGAACAAATTTGGGTCATCGTCCACGATATTATGGAAAAAGGCATCGATGGATGCTGCGACCTGGTACGTGTAATATCCCGTGTAGTCGGTTGAATTGGGCGCTGCGATGCCGACGAAGACGTCGCTGTCCGTATCTAAGGTGATTCCAATATACCCGCCAACGGCAGTGTGCATATCCTGCAGCGAATCGTCTTTGCCCGGTCCTGGCTGTTGCAATTTCTGCGAAGTCGACACATACATTTGCAACTGCGGGAACTCGCCTTGTAGGTCGGTCTTGTTGGTAGATGGTTTTTGGCAGGTCGTGAGCGACAAGTAGACCGTAGTCGTCGCTCGCTTCGAGAAGTCCCCGTCTCGTTTCCGTAGCTCATAGGTCGAGTCATCGTCATCGTCGTCTTCATTTGTAGAATTCACGTATGCAGGAAGACCCACGCCTTTCGGGTCGTGTTTGCCGTTCACCACAACCGAGGGCAGATAGAACCACTGGACAGCGCCGATCTCGAGCGCGCCCGGCGCCTCGAACTGATTGTTGCCCAATGCTTTCGCGACATTAGGGTATCTGCGCACGAGCTCTAGCCCATTTGACTCGCCATCTTCGTCGACACTGTCGCGAAGTTCTAGCCCATTGAACGAGTCCAGCGCAAGTGGGAATCCTGCCCCGTCGCTGGGAACCGCCCCTTGGAGGCTCAAGGTGTTCTCTGTACCCGGGACATCGGATGCATCGGCATAGGCGACCGTGACAGCGAAAAGAAGAAAGATCGCGCTAATCGTTGCAGTAAGATAGCACTGCAGCGCGTTGTATTGGCGTCGCATGGAAAGACGGAGGGGAGGTGTCGCTGCACAGCCAATGGCCAGAATTGGAGTTGGCGAATAAAAATATCACAGGCAAGCGGTGGTATACACCAGCTGTAAACCTCTTCCTGGAGGCAAAATCAGCGGCTGCATGCAGTCGACGTGAAAGTTGTTTGGATGAGGCTGGCTATCGTGGAAAATGCCAGTCTTATCAATTTGGCTGCCTTGTTGCCTTGTTGCCTTGTTGCCTTGTTGCCTTATTTAGACACGTAGTACTCCGCGTACCATCTACAACATACATTTCCTCTGCCAAATGAGACTTTGATATATAATGGGTCAGCTGTGAGGTTTTGGAAACCAAAGTCTAAGGCTAAGACTAAGCTTCTATGAGGCTGAATGATTCTAAAATGATACTCCTTGGCTTGATTGCAATCCACACAACTTTCAATAAGTCAATTGTATAAAAGAATAAGAAATGTATTCTATGTATCAAGTAGGTATCGTAGTCTTGAAACCAACAAAAATGGATCAAAGTAGACGATCGCAGTCAAGCAACATGCAAATGCAAAGTAACAGGAACAAGTCAAGGAAAAGTAGGCAATGAGCAATAAACAAAAAAACAATCAAACCAGCCTCTGCCAGCGGGCTAGGCCAAAACTCACAACAACAATACCTGCGATCACTCCAAGAATGCCGAACCACCACGCCAATCCTTCTGTGTGAGCGCCGGGAACTTCTACGTTCATACCGAACAGACCACAGATCAGGTTCATGGGGACCAGAATCGTAGCAATCAGAGTGACTTTGCTGAGAACCTTGTTGACGTGGTTTCCCAACACCAAGTTGGTGACATTCAGCTGAGCCAAGTAATTGGTATGCGACCGACTGAGCATCTTTTCGAAATGCGCCAAGTTCGACATCATGGTCACAACGTGATCCTGGATATCGCCCAGGTAAAGACCAATATCACCACGGGGAGTAACCGAGTACTGTTCGTTACAGCGCTTGGAGAATCCACGAATGACATCAGCCTTGCCGCCTAGCAGGCGCATTAAGCTCATGACCTTCTTGCGCAGGCCACCGATGCGAGGGAGGAACGATTCGAAATCCTCAACTCGGGCAATAAACACATGGTCTTCGATCGCCTCGGACTCCAATTCCACATCCCGAATCACGGGGCCGAAGCTATCCACGATGTCGTCGATCATCGCGTAACAAATCCAGTCGCTACTGAGAGACACATAGTCTCGCAGCTTTCCAATACGTTTCCGGACATTGGATGCGTGAGGGTTGTCCTCAAAGGAGAAAGTGAGAACACCGTCTCGGAAGACAACCATGTAGAAATTGACAGGCTCAAGGAATTCCTCGCTGGTTTTGTCCATTTGGAAGAAGGTCCGGAAACAGACAAAATAATACTGCTTGAACAGTTCAACCTTCTCGCGGGCTTCCTGGGTTTGAATATCCTCCGTTGTCAGGGGGTGAATGGAGAAAGCCCGGGAGATAGCTCCCAATTCCTCATCGGTGGGGTTGACCACATCCAACCACCACACACCTCCCTCAGGCCCAAGCTCAAAGAGATCGCGGAAGGTTTCGCCAGGGAGCACCAGATCTCCCAAATCGGCAGCATGCACTGTGCTTTGAGACTCGGACGAAAAGAACCCGAAGCGGGAACGCTGGTTTGTAGTATGGGGTGGTCGAACCCGCTCCTTTTCGTCCGTAACCTCGGCGTCCTTCTTCTCATGTTCACTCAGTGTATCAGTTGAGCTGGTCTTCTTAATTGGACCCATCTCAGGGCTTTCAGCGCCAGGACGGAGATCGTAAAATATGCGGGGCCTCTTGCTCTGCGAGCTCATGCTGTGCTTGCGGCGATCGCCATCGGCGATTTTACTGCTCGGATTCAGAGCCACAAACTCCTCGAGTTCCTCGTAATCAATGACGGGAATACGGCCTGGCGCGTCAAAGCAGGCCTCCTCTGCTGTGTCGAATGGCACATCGCCCAATTGGGGGCGAACAACACTGGCGTTGCTGAAAGTTGGGCGCCGGTTGTGGGTGCCACCCGAAACGGTGCGCTGCAGGATAGCTTCCAGGTCGGGAGGCGCATGGCTGTCCAGGGTATTGGCGCGCTCACGGCGACGTGGGTCGGCAAAAGCCTCAACTGAATTGGGAGGAGAGGATGATCGAGCGGAAACAGACGAGGCGCAGGAAGCGTTGGCGAGTTCCGGGTTCACAACACTGATGCGACGCGGAGTCTGATACGTGGCGTTGTGGTCGATCGAGAACCGACCGAGTCCATTAAATTCATTCAGCGAACGATCGTCTTCCGCGGCATTTTCAAAATCTCGGGGAATTGGACCGTCCTGTAGGACATCTTGCGCACTGAGCAAGTCTGGACGATCGAGCATTTCAGGACCTTGAGTGGTATCGCGCGGGCTGTAAGAACGCTCCATCGGGGCTTCAATGCGCGGAGGCGTCTGCATCTGCAGGCGGTGATCATCCAGTTCGGGTACCGGAGTACTGTACCTGGTCAGGTACATGTACTTCTCGGATCTGGGCGACTCGGACATGGTGGGATCTCAGTATATGAGGATTCGACGAAAATGATTAGGGCGCCAGATTGGCTGATTTTTTGCTTGGGTTTTGGTTTGGTGATATTCGCTTTTGAAGCGCACAACGACCGGAGCAGACGCAAGCCGGTAAGAGGTTCGTTCAAGGGTGACGGCCCTCCATCCATAAGCTAGACCCTTCGGGAGGGTCTAGCGTTACCGACTGACGTCTAGCGGCCACAATAAAGACAATCCTAAAGCCCAGTTAGGGGGGTCTGGTGTCGCCCCCGCCGAAGACCCGGAACTTGGGGCCTGCAAGAGGGTGGAGGAGAGAGGCCTCGGTGTAGCGAAGTCCCGCCAACTTGAAGAAGTGGGAGGATGAGGAGCTTGGTGGCTCCAGGGTTGCTGTTAGACGAGAGGCGCGAGAGGTTCGCGAGTTCAATGACGTTAACGATCGAATTCGAGTTCTCAAGCTTCAAGACTAGAGATCAATTGAAAATTCTAGTTTAAATCGTAAGATGCTGGGACTTAGTGGGAAAAGCGGGAAGGGTGGAAGTGGCGAAGACCAAATAGAGTGGTTCCAGAAGCCCACAGAGTCACCACTGGGGAGAACAAAAGGGTTTAAGATATGGGATATTCAATATAAAGAACCTCAGGGGGTTGCAATAATAGGAGAAGGTAAGAAAAACAGTGGGGGGGGGGAGGTTAGGAGGTGATATGACCGAGAAAAAGGGAGAAACAAAGGTGAAAATTTTGCAAGCGGGTACCCCCCGTTTCAGCAGGTCTACAAGAGGGACTATAAAATAACCTGTCATATTATTCTCATTGTCTCTACGGAGTACGCCGTACAACGTAGTTTTCCTAATACAAGGAGTAATTCATTGAGGCATCTTATGCCGAATGTCATCTATGCGGCTTTGACTTCTTGCATTCCCCCCGGTCCTATACTACCATCCTACGGGAGTACATATTGGCCTTGGACCTTTGTTGCCCTTGGCATTTGGCTATTTTCAGGTTATATGACACAATAGTATTCTAGGGCAATTTATCTCGGTAAAAAAATAGCCCCTTTTTCTCAAGTTTCGCCTTTCTACGTGGAACAGATGTGCAAGAATACGAAGTATAGGGTAAACACACACCGACAATGCAGAATATATGCAATCGGATTCGAGATCGGATTCGAGATCGGATTTGACATCCTCACAAATCCAATCAAATCCAATCAAAAGAAATCGTCGATTAATGAAGAAAAGGTCTCCACTTACGTTTCCGACGTCGGCCACTTTTTTTGGTGGCGCCAAGAGTTCTCAGAGTCACATACCGGACTATCAGACGATCTTGTACATCTTGTGTGTTTAGACCCCTGTAACACACAAACGTATAGCCATCTTTATCATGACTTCCTTCGTGATCAAGATTCCTTGCTCCTCGGCCAACATTGGCCCCGGATTCGATGTGATCGGCCTGGCATTGTCTCTCTATCTGGATCTCCACGTCACCATCGAGGCCAAACCCTCATCCCAGCTCCCCTTCAACTGCGCCATCACCTATGAGGACCAAAGCAAGAGTGTTGAGAATATCAGTCTCGATCCAGAAGTCAATCTGATCACCCGTGTAGCCCTGTATGTCCTCAGATGTCATGACCAGCGGGCCTTCCCCGTTGAGACCAAGGTGCATATCACCAACCCCATCCCGTTAGGCCGGGGTCTGGGCTCCTCTGGTACTGCGGTGGTCGCCGGTGTCATGCTGGGCAATGAGGTGGGTAAGCTGGGTCTGAGCAAGGAACGATTACTCGATTTTTGTTTGATGATTGGTAGGTTGGATTGTTCTATGTGCCCCTCATTTGAGTCTTCGGGGGAGGGGAAAAAAATTCCCATGATTCGTACGTACATCTTACTAACGCGTGAGAACAGAGCGGCACCCGGATAATGTGGCTGCCTCCCTCTTCGGTGGGTTCGTGGGCACCTATCTGAATGAGCTTAAGCCCGAGGACGTGGCACGCAAAGAGATCCCCCTCAGTGAAGTCCTGCCTGCTCCGGCAGGTGGTGTGGACACCGGCATCAGACCCCCCGCGCCACCCATGGCCATTGGTCATTACAGGAAGTTCAATTGGGCCCCGGAGATCAAGGCCATTGCCATTATCCCGGACTTTGTGGTGCCTACTGCCAACGCCCGTAATGTACTCCCGGAGACCTACTCGAGAGCGGACGTGGTATGTGAATGTCCAGAATTGATAAACTATCTGATTCCAGACTAATCCTCGGCTAGGTCTTCAATCTCCAGCGCGCGGCACTCCTCCCAGCGGCCTTGGGAAGTTCCCCGCCGGATCCTGATATGATCTTCCTCGCCATGCAGGATAAGGTGCACCAGCCGTATCGCAAGACGCTGATCCCAGGATTGACTGAGATTCTCCAATTCATGACCCCGGCCACTCAACCCGGTCTGCTAGGAATCTGTCTCTCCGGTGCAGGACCTACCATCCTGGCACTGGCCACGGATAACTTCACCGAGATTGCTGACCGCATTATCGCGCAGTTCGCTTCTAATAATATCTCGTGCCAATGGAAGCTGCTGGAGCCTGCTCAGGATGGCGCAACTGTCACCTATAATTAAAAGCCGGCGCCTTGTGTCGTCACAACACAATCGCTGCATGTGAGTCAGCGATTCGCCGCACTTGACATACAAGCACGTGGCAGCATTGGAGCATTGGGACCCGAGGGGAATGCGTATTTGGTTGGATATGGGAAGGATGATCTTTCCCTAACCGCCACCACATGGGCCATCAAGATCTCGTTTCACCGCTCCTTGCTTCTCGCATTGCAGGGTGCATGTGAGCCTTCCGACATGGCAAGTTGGATTCGGGTTAAGTTTGGATTTGCAGGGTCTTGTACACCGGTACACGACCGTAGGCCGAGTTTCTCGAGGCCAGGTTCCCACCAGCAGTGCTCCGGTGGTGGCTCTAGAGATAGATGGCAGATCATATCGAATGAAATCATGATCAACCACGTAATGATTCAAGATTAACATCGGGTCAATTTCTCAAGGAACAATCATTGGGTTCAAATTATGTTACAGCTTCGATCCGTATTTTGTGTACGTACTTTGACGAAGTGTCGTGCACTCCGTACGACTCGTACATTGTAGAGAGCAAGGCGGTCCGACATGGCAGAATACAAATGACACCATTGCGATAAGCCGCCCGGCATCGATCAAGGGATCCGGCCTGTTGACCTCGAATCTGATTAACTTGCTTCAATCATGGATGAATTACTCGCCCCTATTCAAGATGCCATTGAAGGCCAAATCGTACGCTCCGCCGCACCGCCCCTATTGCTATTGCTCTGCGCTTTTGGACAATCGAAGCTAACAAGATCTCGATAACAGGACTTCCACGGCCAACGTCTAGCAGACCTACTGTCGACCATCTTGCTGGTTATCTCAGGGGTATGTTGCACGAATATTGGGTCTTGTATTACCAGAGCGAGCTGACGATTGTTCTATCTGCTCCAGGCCGCCAGTTTCCTCGTCGGATACATCTACAAAGACATTCACCTTACGTTATGGACTGGCTTGGCGGGCACACTGTTCACAGCTTTCGTCGTTGTCCCGCCCTGGCCGGTATACAACCGTAACCCAGAGAAGTGGTTGGGTTCAACAAGCGCGAGGGCAACTCCGGGTATAACTGTGGACGGGGTGAAGGTGCAATAAGCTATTGAGAAATTGTCAAGCGTAATAATCATTGGATGGCAGCGCTTTCTTGTCTGCTACGGAATATGAGAATGGGAAACTATGGAGCTGGCTCGAGACATCAATCGTTCGAACGCCCGCCAATCCCTAGCCGTCGTAAAGATCCAGAAGCGTCTTTGAAAAAAAAAAAGTTCAAGTTATAGCCATTGCGCATGCGGCCATCAGCCAGAAATCGTGAATTGTATCGTGTAGTGTCTTTGAAACCCCTGGTCCCACTTTACCGGCCGTATTTCTGGAACTCCCAGTCTCGGTTGTCTAGGGGGCAGACCTGGCGGGTCTTGAGCCATCTGGATATACAGTGGAAGTGGAATGCGTGCTATAGAAATGGAGTAATTAGTTTATGATCACATGGTCGGATGGGGTGATGTGGAGGTCCTCACGTTGCAGATACCCCAGGCAACAGTGCACTCTTCTGTTGTTGATGATCCTTGGTTGGCCTGGCATTCGATGCCTGTTTCATCGGTCGGTCAGCTTGTAAGATAAGAGAGCGTCGGGGGGTAGTTTCAGCGTACACAAGTCCATGATGTGGTTTCGGCAAATGGCACAGTTGTCAACGACGATATCCCAAGCCCACAGGGCAACAGCGTTCCACTTGACAATAGCCAGTCAGTATCATGAGTCGCTGCAAACAGTAGATCTTTTGCGTACCTTCTTGACCTCGAACTTCTTCTTGTCGGCATTATCGGAGGCCTTGACCACGGCCTTGCCCTTGGAGGAGCCAGTAGCGGCTTCCTTCATCTCCACGTCGGCCATATTGAGATTCTCGTCGGAATTTGGATGGGGTCGGTTTGAAATGCTTGGCGCGAGACAACAGAAGCTAGCTGAGGTGGGGGGATCAGAACGGTGACTGACGTAAGTGAGGCTCCGATGCCCAGGTTAAAGCGGTGATTGAGCGGTGATTGTAGTGTAGAGCGTCGAGATGGAACGGACAAGGTCTGATTTTGGGGGAGTTAGAACAACAGATATCTCCAAGGGTACTCAATGCACAACGCGACAATGAGACCCTGTCCAGCAGTCAATAGTTCTGTTTGACTTGGTTTGTTCTTGAGATCGTGAAGCAGGTGGCGTCATTAGTCATCGAGATGGGATCGGAGTCCCCTCCTCGTTTGTCTGCATTCGATGGTCTTTCCCTTCAACCAACAACAATGATTCAATCTTCCTCTTCTTTACTTCTTTTTTCCTCTTTAGAGATGTCTCCAGTTGATCTTCGTTTTTGACCTTTGTCACACTCTCCGTTTCGTAGACAAGTTCTTTTAATAGACTGTCTATCTTTACCTTTGAGCGTCTGCTTTGACTCAACTTGCGACTCTTTCACTACCTCAGTTTGATACACGTCACTTTCTCTGCTTCCCCGGCGTTGCCATATTTAATATTGTCGACACCTGCTGAGCAGTGATCTGACTCATTTTGCTGCAATCTCCGCATCTTCTGCCTTTTACTGCTTCGTCATAGCGTTGCCTTTTCTCTTTACCTCTCTCTCCAGGCTGCCTATTTTTCAAGCCAACCGTCGACATGTCGACCCAATCTCCTCATCCACCGACCCCTAAAGGATCGCGCAACAACCGCCGTCCTCAGAAGAAGAATACAACCCCTCACGCCCAGAAACCGGCGCTCCTTTCTACTCCCCCATCATCCCCACCGCACAACATGAGCCCCGGGGTCATCCAGGTGGATTCTTTAACCAACTTCAACTCCTCGAAGAAGAAGCCAATGCGTTCAGGGAAGAAGCCCCGGGACAGCAAGGCTTCACCTGCGACATCTGGATACCATAGCAACGGGTATAACAGTGGTCCCCGATACACACCAACGCAACCTGCTGTCACCTCTCCTCAGCCAAAGCCGAGCGCAGCCTACGCGGGACCGACGTTCCATGCATCACCTGCACCATCTGCTTTACCCATTCCTAGCTTTTTCTCTAAGTCGGCTCCTGATCCCAATTTGGTCCCGCCCATCGAGACCGATAGTGACGATGCGGAGGTGGACCCCGAACTAGATGTGACTCCGTCCAAGCCTCGCAACCGCAGCAACCAATTCAAGGCTGAAGAGCCCAAGCCCTCCCCCTCTCGACTTTCTTTTCAAGGCTGCTGTGCAAGCCAGAGACCAGAAGTCCACGAGCAGCCCTGAGGTGAACAAGGTCCTTCAGTCCCCCCAGACCGAACCCAGGGCCTTGCGCCCTAATCCTGATGGCATGTTTGCATTTGAAATGGGAAACTCTGATTACACTCGCAACTTACACATTGGTCCTTCTTTCGCTCCTTCTTACCAAGATCGTATGAATGCGCTGCGACCGTCGAGTACCTCCCAGTCCTCTGACATGACTGAGGAGGAGCGACGAATCAAGACCGAGGAGCTGAAGCACCTGTTACTCAATCCACCCCCGCAGAAGCCGCCTTCCTCGGCTCATGCCTCTCACGATCATGCTAGATCCTTTGGGCCCCGTCCTTCCAATGTGCCTCCCTATGCCACTCCTTTGCGAACCACGTCTGGCCCTCAGTTGACCTTGTCTCATTCCTCATTCTCTAATCAACAGCTGCAACAGCAGCATATTCCTCAGAACACTGGACGTCCTCAGTATCAATACCCCACCCATTCTCACTCACCTCTGCGCCGTGAGGTTGACCTCGTCCCGCCTCCTTCGATGCCTCCATATCGTGGCCCGGTCTCAAACCGCGCCTCGAACGGAGGTTCCCCGGCGCCGTATGGTAATCCGTACATGGCAACCTCCCAGGATCAGCGGTCTGGATATGCTTCCCCCCAACCAAGCCACGCGGCGTCTCCATTTCATATGCCGGTCAGCTCACCGTCTCCTCGTGTGGTAGACACCAGGCAAATCGAGAATGACATTCGTCGAGTTCTGAAGCTCGATACCTCGGGACCTCCGGTCACTCGAAGCTTCGCATAGCTCCACAATCGCCCTTCTGCCATGACGATCTTCTCTATATGATATTGTCTGTCCTCTCCTTTTGTTGAATGAATGGCCTGTTTCTTCTCTTTGGTTTCCTTATTTAACTGGCATTCAGTTTGATCTACTCTGTTTCCTCTTGCATTCTGTTCATACGGGCATCCTCGACTGGTCTCGGGTCCCTCGGTTGGTTTATTCTAGTCTTCCTTTCCCGCGACAGGGTGCTCATTGTTCTTTCCATACGTCTCTTGCGGCAATATTCGCAATGTTCACCATGATGATAATGCACGGCACTGGCTGCTTGGTAAATTGATGAGGTGGTTTATACCTTTTCTCCATCGTTCGGCGTCGTGGTTTTTCCGAAATGTGGTGGCGCGCCTGGTTTTGGCTTGGGGCATGGAGGGATGCTAACAAATGCATGATTCTGCTGTTCTTTGTTTTTCCTTTTTTTTCACCTTGTTTATCCTTGTTATTTTGGGTTTTTTCGCTGTTCAACTCTTCTATTCTTTTGTTTGGTCGAAGTAGCGGTCAACCTCGGTCAGCCTTTCAACACTGACCTAGGGCTGATCTGGCACTTCGTACCTTGGTGTATCCTCGCCACTCGTTTCAGGGGGATTGCATTTTTCTGGATATCTGACTAGTCCACATCGGTGTGCTTTTGTGCTCGTCACTCAATCTGATAATTATCACTGGTCAGGTTTTGGTTCCGATTATGGAGTGCAAGTAGTCGTACATGGTAGTAGTCTAGTAGATCTGACGCCATGGATATTCTTGTAGATTAGATATCTCAGCCCTGTTTGGTTATATGCATACTAGGACAATATTAGAATCGTAAGACCATACCGGATTTTCCATCTCTAACTATACCATGTCGATGCTATACCGTGAAAACCACTATGTTTGTAGTACTATAATAGTGCGTGAAAGCAAGTGGGTATACTTCCGAATTGCTGACACTGTAATATATAGTACATATAACTAACGACCGTTTACCTTTATGGTACCGTGGACGGACTCCGTGTGTACCTACACATGATAAGCCTCGCTGAATTCGGTATAGCGCCGGGAATCACTTTGTACATACTTGGTTGGTTCTTGCCAAGACGCCAAGACATTGTAGATAAACCACTACCCAAAACAGTATCTCCTGCATGTAAATATATCAGGGAACTCTAGATCTTTCAGGAGGGTCTAGCGTTACCGACTGGGCAGACAAATCACCGAGATGAATAAGCATAATATTCGCATCAAAAGTTAGATCTCGGGAGGCATGCTGTCATCTTCATCATCCTTATACGGCCAGTTTCGACAACAAATCTCCCGCTCGTCCACTTCTGCTTGCCGTAGCATTTCCATACGAAACTGCCGATTGCCCTCCACCGCTCTCTCCAAGTTATCTGGCTCGGTCCTACCTTCCAGATCTATACCGAGGTATTCTCTTATCTGGGACAGCAGCTGTTCAGACTCATTCCATTCTTGCGATTCCGCTATGGCAGCCTCTTGTTCTTTATTACTGAATATAACTAGGCATACGGCCGAGGAGATAATACTCCATACCGATAGAGTCGTGATACCTACTAACGCAGCACATAAGTTAATTATATCTGTGTCCCAGGGATACCCTATCTAACGAAGGAGATACTGTCGTATTCTGAGATAAGGAAGTCTTAATAGATCCATATATTTAGTATTGCGTATATCTATCGCGGCCGTATAGTAGAGATTGGCCTCTTCTAGGTAAAAGACGGTTCTGTATTATCTCTGTTATTCGATTCCTATCTTACCGAAATTATTAGAAAGAGATAGAATATATATACTCTGAGGTTGGGAGGAATTGTACAGTGTACTTATAGAATACGGGATAGCCCACTTGTATAAAGCGGGGGAATATCATGGCATCCTGCCAATCGATAATACTAATGATTTTGGTTGATCTAGGTACTAATAAAATGTTACTTAGACTTAGATCGGGGTATCTTAGCGTCGGAACGCTATAAGGAGAGTCCGGTAGAATTATATAAGGTACTAAATACTAATTCTAGGAATTATGAAAGTAACGAGGTATGCTCGGAGGGAAAGATATTATGGTTAGTCGGTAAAATAAATGTCTGACGAGGCTGAGCTTTAGTATAGCACTAAATGATAGCTATATCTCGGCGAGCTGTAGATGTAATACAGTCCTTAGATAAAAGCCCTAATAATAATTAGTCCCGGCTATAGGGGTTTTTTTCTAAAAAAAAACTAAGAATAGAGGGGAAAGTAAGGATATATAGGGTCCACAGTCAACTTCCGTTTTACTTCGTTCGCTATGCTAAAACTGCCGAGCAGACATAGGGCCGATATAGAAATCCTCTACAATTAGTATCTAGGTTTCCCCGTTAAGGTCCTTTTTGTGATATAAGTTTCTATATACAGGAAAATGGAAATCAAAAATCTTCCTCTCTGTATCTGCGATTATATTATGACATCTTTTATCTTATCGGAAGTAAAAGATAACCACTGTGAAGAAAGGCTCTCTCCCTTCACTCACTCCATTAGAATATACTCTGCTCCAATAGGATTGTCCGGTGATATTAAATATACTAAGACCTCCGGTACCGGAAGTTTGAGGATAACTTATAAAAAGTTCATAGTAGCAACCTTACTAGCAGTTATATATCGAGGAGACCCGGCAATAGGAGTCGGAATTTATACAATCACTTCACAGTCATTATTTGCCTATAGAAGAAACACTTTATTAAAGCCTCCCTCTACAAACTTAGTAATATTAGGGCAATACCCTTATTGTACCTCTTTACCGGCGATCCGTTAGAGCTCTGTTGGTCGAAACTTGACGTATCGTTCGTTCAAACGGTCGGTCTCGTTGAATCTAGCTAAAACTCAGTAACTATGGTCAAAGCAATATTAGGCTTCACCTACATCCATCGTCGTGATATATTTCGGAAAAAATCTTCACAAAATGCTGGTGGACTAGTGGACAAATGATGGCAGGAGTAAACAGAAGCAGGCTGCCTGGAATAGACCACCGGTTTCCTCAAACGGGGAGCGGATGATATACTTCTAGTAATGGCGAATCTCTGGCAAACATTAAGCATTATTCAAGAACAATAGTAGAATATAAACATCAAGTCCGAAAGATGTTGCCCGGCGCAGGTTCATGAGTTGACGAAGGAGCTAGGAATAGATGAGGTAAGCTCCTTGCCGCTAGTTAAACATGATGTACCTTTTGTATAGAAATCCCATATAAAAGGTACCTAATTTCTTGGAATTTCCGTATTCAGGGACGGACCCATACCTGATACTATGGACTACTAAGCCTATTTCGACAAAGTACTAATGATATATGTTTCGGAGCATCCATCTTGCCCTTCAAACAATCTCACATTTCCATCTAGCATCGCTGCCTCTTAGTACACCGACCTTTGATGAACCGCTGTGCAAAAGATGGTGCCTTTATACCTTCAGCTCTAAAGTCGCTACCGTGACCTAGAGGAGATTCGTCAATCCCTTTGGAACTTCGACGGCGATGTTCTCACTTATGAGATGGTTGAGCATCTAAGTATCAATTTTCATCACTTAGATATTGATACCGGTGCGACATCCGATTTAGTGACTCCTTACTTCCTTCCACGATCATCATTTCCTAGTTGTCGTGACATGAGTGGGGATCTCAAGGAATGGATGTTTGACGCGGGACAAGACCGGGCCACTTACGGGGAAAGTTTGAACCCACCTATCCTACCGAGATTCTTTCCATCGGCCCTACGTTTAACACATGATAATTACGCTTGTGGGATGAGTAAAGATTTAGAGCGCCTTATCTCCGATTCGAAGTAAGTTGATCAACACCGCTCTAGGGCTATCTACTAATAACTAACAACTAATGTACAATTCCAGAATTACACACCATGGTTGGATGAGAGACAGGTGAGTGTCCTTTGCTATACGCTTCAAAAACAATAGAAATTATATACTAAAAACAAGTTAAGAGCCTTTGATAGTGAAGAGGTGACAGGGCGTCGTCATCATTTTAGACGCACAGTCAGATATACGACCGATATCGAGGAGAAGAAAGGAGTTCCCTTCCTTGACCATCATGTTCCATCATCACAGTCTCCGAGTCATTGCATGACTGATGTTACCGTCGTTAAATGCCATAAGGGACTACCTTCAATCAATGAAGTCTCAGCAGTGGTCGAGGAAATCCTAGATGGAATGAGGGCACAAAGGAATGAATTACGAAGCATAACGGATGGGCAAAGCCTGACAACGTTTCATCATATATTACCGGTTTGCAGCGTTCATATCCATTCGACAAACAAAATCACTAATCATAGGTTTTAGAGAATGGTCCGAGCATATGATTTGTATGGGCATTGCCGCCTACTCTATGCTTATTTTGATGGTAGGTTGAGGGTTCGGTTTACCGAGGTCGTAGATTTTACACCATTCGCAGTCGAGCCCCCACCTGAGAAAAACTACTTTGACATCATCGACTTGCCTAAATACTATGACACGATTGATAAAATGATAAAATGGGCGGGGCCAGTTGTACAAGGAGATACTAGCAAAAGGAGGCTTGAAGATTGTCAAAACCTGTTGGATCATCCCATTAATGCTTGATTGTTCAAGCTTATTTGCTTGCAGACTGAGCAGTTTGCTTATTAGCCTCGAGGGTATAAATACCCTTTTGCTGGATTTAATGGATCATGATTCTTCCTTCTCTTTCTCTCCGCTGTTGCTAGTAGCCAGATCAGAACTCATCGTCTAACTTTTAGCTTTCTCAAGTATCCAACTTGTGAAATTTCTTAATTTCATAGCTTAGCTTCTTCAATCTCCAATCTATCTCTCACATTAAATCAGTGGACATAGGGTCGCTGTTCGCATCTTGGGCTTCTAACATCTCTTCATCTTTTCGCGTGTCCGAAGCGTTTACAGGTGGTTTACGGCTCCTAGTGAAGGAGTATCGTCAGACTCATTTAGTCTCTCTTTATCCCGGCGAATTGTGAAGTGGAGGCTGCGAATGGTTAAAAATGGACCAAGATTGAACCTGTTCCAATCCCAATCCTTGGGCTTAGTTCCACCATAATCTTCGATGTCGGTACAGTATGACATGAACTGACGGAACTGCAGACAGTAACCCATGGCCTTTTTTCTCACGTCTGGTGGGAGTTCGAGCATTTCACCCTCAGACTGGTCTACCAGATCTTCCACAGATAGATGCTTCCAAAGGATTCTCGCCGTAAGAAAGTGGCCCAGCTGGAATTTTGATCCAGAGCCCCATCAGCCAAGCTGCCGATACGGGGTCGGGTTGAGTGTCTTTTGGCCAAGTTGCTTTTCCAATTTCGATAGATTTTGCAATGGCACACCATTCGAACAGGCGTCGGGGAAGGTCGACAATCTCCTCCCATCGATTTGGCTCAATGACTGTTATTCAGTATGATTAGATTTGGAACTTATAAGTCAATAATATGAGCTTACGGCTTGACCCAGACATTGTGTCGTGAAGTATCCAACTGACACGAGGAGCGTAATCATATCGGACTTTCGCAAGGTGTGTGTATGCCGAAGAAGTATAGCCAGGTAAGTCCGAGCTCGGGGAAGGTTGCACGAGAAGACAACGCTCTCCTAAGAGAGGTGATTTGATCGAAAGGGTAAACCAAGCCCGGCTGGTGTGGGGGTTAGGGGGCTGGGAAGATGAGAGGCGAGTTGGGGGATAGGAACAGAAAAATTGGCAAATCCAGAGGCTAATGGAAAACATGCACTAGTATCGTGACTATGAATGAGATGCTCACTCAGGGCTCACTCAGGACTCACTTCGGGCTCACGATGATATTGGCGTGGGCTCTAAATACTGGTTGTTGTGAAGATGAGAACTTGGTATAAGTGTTGACCGGTGTTCCCTAAGCTACTGTTCGATGTTCCACCGGCCGAAGAGCCTCTACTCATATTCGGAGGTATAGGAGTATAGGAGGGATAGTATCATCGGGTATAAAGATATACTCCGTACTCCGTATAGAGCTAAGGGAATAACAAAGGGTCAACGACTACAACATACTATGTGCCTGAATGCCAAGACCTAGATTGCACAAGCCCTGAACTAGCCACATCGTTTGAAACGAATCAAAATTGGCAGGTTTCCTAATTCCGATGTGGAGTCTAGCCTATGAGAAGTTGAACCCAGTGCGGATCCTAATATCCCCCAGGGTTCTTCCTATGGATATTTTAATTCAATAAGAGGGATCTACATCGTGGTATCACTGAATAGTTTCACAGGCTTAATATGTTAAAGTATCCTATATTGTACATTGTACATTCGTATATAATAGTTCATTTTTTTTTTTGGAACGTGGACTCTTCCCCCTATTGTCAACCCTAACGACTCCTATTCGTCAGCCACATTTGTTTTCCCCGAGATCCACCCAGCCGCGACTAATTTTATATCAATTTCGCCCTCGGCTGTATTCCGTGGTTTCTTAGGGGGCAGTCAAGGGAAGCCGAACTCGGCACTCCGAACTCTCCTATTCTGTGTTCCTATTTCTGTATATGTACTCCGCTTCTTTTGCCCAACCTTGCCCACACATATCAGACGGGAGTTGGGGATCTCTAATTTCCATTGCTTTGGCCGTCCGTAAGGGCTCGGACAATGGCATTCAGATACAGACTGCCCACGTGTAATTGTATCCTGCCTGGAAGGCATGTATTGAAGACTGAATGCAGTAAAGTACTAAAACACACATACTTGGCAAGATACCCCATTATTGTTGCATTCAAAAGCTTATGATGGATTATCGACATCATATCAAAAGGATCTACATACCACAGCGTCGAGGCTTCGCTGGATGCGGCCAGGGGTTTGGTGGAATAGAGTCATATCATAACAACTGAAGCAAAGGACTCAGTAAGTATATTGAGATTGAAAGGAGATCCTATCTATTATTCCAAGGCTTTTTTTGTGACCCTTGTGTTTCCAAGAAAAATAAAAAGAGAAACATAAATAATCTCCATATCTTCCCCCCTCCACCTTTTCTCCTTCCTTACCTAATTCAGGATTCTGGACTTCCCTTGCCCCTACCACATCTTCACATCTTCACTTTTTCAACATCTTCTTTCTCCCTTCTCTCAGCGTTCTCTCTTTGAAGTTTGAATTCTCTATTGATTATTCCCGCGTCGGGACACGTTCTTCCCGTCTCCAATGACCGCTCTCGCGACCTAAATACCGGTTTTAACCCCCCTGCGCCCTGTTTTTTTCCCCTACTGTGACACCATGGCGAATATGTTAGTCTACCTTTGGATGTCTAGACTCTAGACACCCTTCGAAGGTTTATGTTTACTGACATGATGCAGGTTGAACTCGACATGGCGGTCCTTTTGGCATACCATGACCTCCTATGACCGGCATGCCTCCCACGACTCCCCCTACCGTACCGGGGGACACGTCCCTCTCAGCCAAAGTCGCCACGAGCCGCTCACATCTGTCGCAACTAGCGCAATCGAGTCTCGCCCAGATCTCTCCAACCCCTATGATGACGAGCCCACAAAAGGATCTGCAAGGGCACAAGCATCCGAATGGAATGGCTCCGATGACTTGGGCTCCCCCACCCATCCCTACTCACCAGGGATGAGATCCGTCGCATCTCAGAAGAGACGATCGAACGACCAAGGTGAGGGTGCACCGGAGATTCAGATGCAAAGTTTCCACGACGGAGCACCACCGCCGCCACCGGTCGCTCACTCCTGGAGGAAGATCGAGCGCTGGTTAGAACACAATTATGAGGAACTCCTTGATCAGCTCGGTGAAGGATGTACCCAAAACGATATTAACGAATTGGAGCACGAACTCGACTGCAGTCTGCCATTGGAGGTGCGGGAATCGTTAATGGTCCATGACGGTCAAGAACGTGGCGGCCTACCCACCGGTGTCATCTTCAGCGCTATGCTACTCGACTGCGAGGAGATCGTTCAGGAATGGCGGAACTGGAGAAAGGTCAACGACGAATATCTCAGCAACGCAACTATACCACCCGCACCCAGCTCTGCAGCAAGCTCCTCCGCGGCCGGTCCGTCTCAGCAACCCTCATCCACAATGTGGCAATCAGAACTGCTCGACCGTCAGGACTCCCAGCCTCCTGGTGCAGTTCAGAAGGCCTACTCACATCCCGCTTGGATTCCCCTCGCCCGTGATTGGGGCGGCAACAACCTGGCCATTGATCTGGCACCCGGCCCCGCTGGAAAATGGGGCCAGGTGATTATTTTCGGCCGGGATTACGACTGCAAATACGTGGTTGCCCGGTCGTGGTCTAGCTTCCTCGCGACTCTCGCCGACGATCTGTGCAGCGGCGACGTCATTGTTGACGAGGAGACGAATGAGCTGAAGTTGAAGCAATTCAAGACCCAAAATGTGGAGCCCCCATACCTGGATATCCTGCGCTGGAGGACTGATCAGAAGTATGGCCGCCGTGTACCTCGCCGGAAGGGCCCCGTACCCAATGGTCTGGGTGTGAGCGCTTCAGGCAATCGGTCCAGCAGTCGCGAGTCCCCCTACGGCAGCCCCACGCGCGCCGAAGAACGCGGCCGCTCGCCGCACCGTTTCTCCAAGGGTGGAAATTCCCAGAGCCCCAAGACGCCATTCGGCGTGTCGAGCCCTCTTGCACGCGTGACTGAGGAGACCACAAGTCCCGTTGTCACTGCAGGACCCACAATCTCCGAAGACACCAAGGAAAACAAAGAACCTCAGACTGAAGATCTCATGGAGATTGTAACCCCGCAAATCTCCAATAAGGAGAACGAAGGGTTCTCCAAGCCCAAAGAACTTAAGGAATCCGAGAAAACCGACTCCGCGGAGTCCTCAACCGCCATTGAGTCGGAGATCCTTGGCGAAATGAAGAACGTGGCTATTTAGAATAAGCCTTGCTTTTTGAGTCCGGCCAGTTCCGGTTTCTCTCGAGTCTAGGTTTTTCAAGGGCACCCGGCATTCAATGTGCAACTTATGGATGCGCGACAACGTTCTGCTTTTGCGTCTGTTTCTACTTCTGCTTCTATGTATAGAATTCCCCCCTGTTCTTCTTCTGGCCTCGGTTCCACGGCATTTGTTGTAACTCTAGGGTGCTGTTTTGCTCCATTTCTGCTTTTTTCTTTTCTTTTTGGTTTTCCTTTGCCGTCGAGATGGCTCTGTGTTTACGGTCTTTGATATTTTTTTGCCTGTAATTCTATGACGACAGTCTGCCTTGGGCCTTTCGTGTCTCGCTCCAATCCCATTTACTTTGATTATTCAATCTTAATCTCAAGTTGCCCAAGACTTACTCCCGTGGCATATGCTGTACACATAGTGCCAGTTGAGGCTTTCAAGGTGCCAGGTGGTTACTTTACAGCTCGTATAAGTCTCGGTATATGGATATATGGCATGGGTATGCTACTAAACATCCAACTATGAACATAAATCTGGGTCATCAATCCATTAATATACAGAAATCATGAATGAACATTCCAATATCCGGGTATAACCTTCAAGAAACAAGATCCTTAATCGACTACTAATCCCAGTCGTCATCGTCGTCGTCACCTCGGTTTCTCACATTGGGGTTAGAGTCCCGAATCCCACGTCTCCCCTTCTTCCTCCCAAATCCTCTCCCACCAGCACCGTTATCACTATCCTCCTCCTCCCTCACATCCTCGTCCTCCTCCCCACCCCCAATCTTCGCCGCCAAAAGAATGCCCTTAAAGACCAACCTCTTCTCCAAGACTTTCACATCAAACCCTTCAACCCCATCAAAGCCCCTGGCATCAAGTCCCTCAAACCCAACAATCCGATCGACCCCAACTCCATCCTTAAACCCAATAACACAAGGCAACACCTTGATCCCCAGTTTCTGCGCAATAAACGGCGTGTTACGCACATCCACCCGCGCAAACGAGACCTCGTAGTGCACATTCGCCAGCTCGCCAAGCCTCATATCCATAACTGCGCACCGCGCAAAATCAGGGTGCGCAAAGTGCACCAGACACCTGCTCGTGCGCGTCGTGAAGTCTAGCACGGACTGGTCCGACGAGAGTGTTGGGTAGACTTCGTTTTGGATGAGGCCTGTGTTGCCGCTTGTTGCCCGTGCGGAGTGGTTGTTTTTTGTGGCTGCGAGCTCGGCGTTTAGTTGGTGGATGCGTTGGTCGCGGTAGAGGGTGTCATCTTCGTTTTCGAGGGCGGCGAAGAGGGCTTCGTCGTCTGAGTCGGGCATTTTGGGGGAAAGTGCGGGGGGTGGTTTGGGGATTTGGTTGTTTTTTTTGTTGTTTTGGTGGGTTTGGGGCGACTCTTCTGTTTGGTTTGGTTTTTGAGTTCAATGTCCTAATGTGAAGGTATGGATTGGGATTTTGAGGGGAGTGTGTGGTTAGGACAGTTGAGGTTGGAAGGTCGGGAGCAGCTCCACTGGTATATGGGCTCGGTACGGACGCGTGAACAGTTTTATAAATTTTATATATTTGTTCTCGGGGCTTTTATAGTCTGCGATTAGGATGAGGTACCTATTTCATTAATTCTTGTCCTTTAGTTAGTGGACCAATTTCTGTATATTCTTTAGGACGTTATACTTTATGCACGTAGCCATAATATGTATGTAAGTCCAAAAGTACAACTGCCAACTACGTAGTTAGATCGTATATCATGTAATTGACATAATTGAGCGTTTTCAATCCCTAACTATCAGTATCAATAGACTACCAATGTACTCGTACTCCGTATGTTCTAATGCAATAGTACATCTAGTTATCGGTCTATAAATAAAATCCTGAGTCAGCAGCCCCTAACGCCTTGCTTAGGTAAGGACGTGTCTGTTTCCGGCCGCGAATTCTGAACCTCCTTTGGCCTTTTTTTCTTTGGTCACCTCCTCGAACAACTCCTTTTGTTCCTCGACTCCCCTAGCTATATTCTGGGTGCTATCTGTCATTTCAGTTCCTTCCTCTTTCAAGAAACAGCCGATAACACTTTTTCCCGCCCCCCTATTTGCGACCATTCACTCAACATGGCTGAAGGCAAGAAATCCGACGACTACACCGTCGACATGAACAAGATCGATCAAGGGAAGGAGTTCGAGGCTGCGCCGCCGACTCCCTCGCCGCGCGCCAATCCCGCCATAACCAACAACCCCGCTTTTCCCGTTTTGGCATACTGTGGTTCGTCAATTATGATGACCGTGATGAACAAGTATGTTCTGTCGGGCTTGGACTTCAATCTGAACTTCCTCTTGCTCTGTATCCAGGTATGTGGTGGATTGGATCTAGCAATCTTGATCCGAGGCGAATTGCTAATATCAACAGTCTTTGGTCTGCATTGCGGCAATTCAAACATGCAAGTCTATGGGTCTTATCACCTACCGTGATTTTAACTCCGATGAGGCCAAAAAGTGTATGGACTCCGATTATCGCAAGCTAAGAGATATCGCAGCTGACAAGATTCCATATTAGGGTTCCCGATTACGCTCCTGCTGATCGGCATGATCTACACTGGTTCCAAGGCCCTTCAGTTCCTCTCAATCCCAGTCTACACCATCTTCAAGAACTTGACCATTATCCTGATTGCCTATGGAGAGGTTCTCTGGTTTGGTGGCTCGGTCACTAACCTTACTCTGTTCTCCTTCGGTCTGATGGTTGTCAGTTCGCTCATTGCCGCCTGGGCTGATATCAAGCATGCCGTGGAGAGCACCGGTGACACCTCTAGCAAGGTCTCCACCCTGAACGCCGGATACGTTTGGATGTTGATCAACTGCCTGTGCACCTCTTCCTATGTCCTGGGCATGCGCAAGCGCATCAAGTTGACCAACTTCAAGGATTTCGACAGTATGTGATTCTTCTACGCTTGTTTCAAATGTTTGCTAACATGACCTTTTCTCCAGCCATGTTCTACAACAACCTCCTTTCTATCCCCGTCTTGATCGTTCTTACCCTGCTTGTCGAGGACTGGTCATCCGCCAACCTCGCCCGCAACTTCCCCGAGGCCAACCGTGAGGGTATCTTCTTCGCCATGGTTCTGTCCGGTGCTTCCTCTGTCTTCATCTCTTACACATCCGCATGGTGTGTCCGCACTACCTCCTCCACCACATACTCTATGGTTGGCGCTCTCAACAAGCTGCCTATCGCCGTGTCCGGTCTCGTCTTCTTCGATGCGCCAGTTACCTTCCCCAGTGTTTCCGCCATCGCTGTTGGCTTCGTCAGCGGTATTGTCTACGCCGTGGCCAAGATCAAGCAGAACTCTAAGCCCCGTACCGGTGTTCTCCCCACTCCAGTCAGTGCCAGCAGCCAGAGCATGAGAGACTCCCTGCGCTCCTAAGGCTTGGAATGGCAATATGCATCTGACTGGTCAGTGTGTATACAAAAAGTCAACCGCGTCCACGGTGCTCCTTTGCATGTGACATTATGATTCACGTTTCATTGCAGCCAAATTCAAGGGTGTTTTCTGGTCTGATTGGGAAATCCTGCGATCACTTTGGTCGGTGTTGGTGTTTGATTCCTTTTTCTCTCTTCTTTTCTGTTATTCTCTCCTCCCCGAAGGAAAACAGACCCCTTTTTGCGGTTTCCCCTGACCCCCTGCTCTTGGTCTACAGTATGATTTAATTCTAACCTTGTTTTGACATGCGGTCATAGCATCCATCCTTGCCTGTCTTGTTCAATGTATATAGCTATGCCGTGCTCTGTTTTTTTTTTAATAGAACGTTTTTCTATAACTAATATGACTTATTCCTCCGGTTATTTTCTTCTATGTTCCATGATCTTGTACTTAGAAGTTGCCGGATAGGTCTGTGCATGGGGTTGATATAATGAGTCGTTTAGCCTCACTTGACCATCTCTTCCTTTTGTTTCATTCGAATCTATCTCACACTTAGAATGCCGTACATTTATATTACCTGAAGGTACAAAAATTAGATCCCGTCAGTCATTCGGTCCGATCTGAGGTCGAAAAATATGGTAGTGGCGTTCTGCCCTACTACATTGACTCTCACGTGACATCCCTCACCAACTATCTATATCACGTGATATATACCGTTACCTTGGGTTATTTCCAGTAGTATGCTTTAATTCAGGTAGCTCCTAGAGAGAAGTAATGCAAACCAACTTTTCAGAAGTAGGATGGACTAAAATAACAAAATCAAACCAAAGGGCGGTAGAATATTGAAGTTAAGTTGAGGACGTTATATACTTCGGATATTTGATTATCCGGGGCGCTTTTCTTCTGCATCATCTTCCTGTCGCAGACACAGGTGACAGCTCCGTATTTGTTTCATACAAGTTCATATAACTTTCTTTTGAAAGTGAACTTTTTTTCTTCAACTTCAGTCATGCCTCGCAATAACAAGAAAGTCAAAAATGCCCCTCCGTCGCGCGCTCGCGGACCAGGCAAACCATCTGGCCCGTCGTCCAACCCTGCCAAGGGACAGCAGCATGGCAATGGACAAAAGCAAGGAAGTGGTAATGCCAACCCACCTAAGAAAGCCTCTATGCAGGCGAACCAGAGACCTATCGTGCCGTTTTTAAGGAAGGATCGAATCCTCCTTATTGGTGAAGGTGAGCTTTTCTTCTGTTTTAGTTGACATGATTGCGCTGCGTTCTTCATTCTATGCAAGAATTTCGTTGCAATTAAGCTATATATGTATATTTTCCCATGGAGTCTATACCCAGAGCAGTTTTACTGTGATATACGAGATTGGAACCAATATGCATTCCTGTATAAGAACAAGATCATGCAACACGCTTCAACACCGATTTATCTATTACACCTGGAAACATAAATTCTAACAGCAACCAGGTGACTTCTCATTTGCCCGTTCTCTTGCAAAACAATACAAGTGCCGCAACCTATGCGCCACATGCTACGATTCCAAAGAAGTACTATACAACAAGTACCCGCAAGCTCCTCAGAACGTCTCAGATATCCTGAGCGCATCAGCAAAGTCAAAACCAGCAAGCAACGAGACCGAAAACCAGCCAGAAGAAAGCAAATCCGAAGACCAGGACTCAACCAACCCCAACCCCAATCCCAATCCCAACCAGCAAACCCCCAAAGTCTTCTTCTCGGTGGACGCGCGCAAACTCGGCGCTCCGGCAGGCGGCGGCAAGGAAATCCGCACAGGATTCGCACGCCGCGAGCGCAAGAGACCAGCCTGGTACCAGAAAGACGAGCCAGCAGGACCACTGTACCAGCCCGGTGGGGCGTGGGATGTGATCTGCTTCAATTTCCCGCATGTGGGTGGGCTTTCTACGGATGTGAACCGACAGGTTCGTTCGAATCAGGAGCTGCTGGTTGCATTCTTTAAGGCGTGTATACCGCTTGTTTCGAAGCCGCCGCCGCTTATGGATGCTGATGATGATGAGTGGGTGTATGCAGATGGAGAGGAGAGTGAAGAGGAAGATGAGGATGAGGATGAGGAAGGCGGAGAGGGCCAGGAGCTGGGAAAAGATGATGATACTACCGGGAAGGGATTCCGGACTGGGCCTGGTCAGATCCTTGTTACTCTGTTCGAGGGTGAGCCATATACGCTTTGGAATATTAGGGATTTGGCGAGGCATGCGGGGCTGGTTGTTGTGACTAGTTTCCGGTTTCCTTGGACTTCTTATGAGGGCTATTCTCATGCGAGAACGGTAGGGCATATCGAAGGAAAGGATGGGGAGCGCGGCGGATGGAAGGGAGAGGATCGGGAGGCTCGGATGTATGTCTTTGAAGTGAAGCAGAAGGAGCCGGTCAAGAAGGGAGGGAAGAAGAGAAGCCGCGATGATGATTCTAGTGATAGCGAGTAACTAGGGGTAATATCATGTTTCAAATCAATAAAAAAACTACAAGAAAATATATGTAAGTAAGTTGTAGTATCTCGTTTCATCCTTGGTAGACGTCTGTCCGAGTTCACATAATGTAATCACATAATGTACACTTTCTTCATCTCACCCTCATGGAAGACCTGTCCTGTTGTTGGGTCTTTGACGTCGCCTGATTTCACTGTTCCCATGTTACGGCTCATCTCTATCAGCCTTTGCTTCCCATAGACTCGGCCGTTGGGTAGAACTATTGGGTCGCTTTCCACATAACTCTTTGAGTGGTGGGCGTATGGCATGTTACGTGCAAGCTCGTTCAGTTCAGTTGAGCAGATAGGACATACAGATGTCGATGTTGACTGTGAGTTTGAGCTGGACGATGTATATGCCGAGTGGCACAGAGGAGTCTTCAGAGCTGAAAGTCCTGCGGAAAGGGCAATATGCAATAGAGGTTGTGCCGGCAATGAAAGCAGCTCATGGTGAGTCTCGATGAAAAGGTCCGCGAGGAACTTCCAGCGTTCCCGCGCAAAGAGAGACTGTAATCCATTAATAAAAACACTACTAATTGAATATGAATGTTTGGCTTACTTTGTAAGGCTCGGCTCTTGTGTCCTGCGTGAAAACCAGTAATCCTGCAGCGCGCATAATATCGGAATTCTGAGCCTGATAGTTCGGTATGAGGTATTTCTTTGCATGGAGTATTGCCTCAATCCTCTTAGACTTGTCTTGTGTCCTGACCATCTCGATGTATTGCTGCAGCCGGAGTTCAAATTCAAGATTTTGCTTCATAAGAATTATGTTAGCAGACGGCTTCAAGACAGGAAAAGGCAATTCCAACTTACCGGGCTTTTCTTCAGCGCAGCCTTGTTCTCTCCACACCATTGCAATGCCTCCTTGGTTTCCCCACGTCGCAAACTATCCACAATCCGTTTAGCTTGTGTGAATACACCTAGGTCCACGAGATCCTCTACCCCCCTATCCTGGGCCATCTGCTTCGCACTTTCTGAGTAACCTGAGCGTAGCATGTGGTCAACGAGTAAACGGTCCAGCCGTACCCTTGACCACTGGTCGTATTTGACATCGGCTAGGCTCGGAATTTTATGTAGGGTCTCCAGGTGCTGAATACGCTTGCGAGATTGGTTGTGTATTTTCTTCTCTTCCTCCTGCAAGCCTTCCATCTTCCGTTTGAGACCTTGCATTCTGGATATCATTGCGTCGAGTGCAGCTAGGGTCTGTTCGGGCGTTTGGGTATTGGAGAGTGAGGCGGCGGCGGCCTCTTTGATTGCGGGGATGACATATTCTTTCTCTCGCTCGACGGCTCGTTGTACGGTTTTAAAATTCCTGCGGGCCAGTTCAAGAGGTAGTCGAAGGAGTGGTTGGTCCTGTGGAAGCAGCCGGTTAGGTCCCGCTTTATCGTGGAGGTGCGGAGTAATACTTACCAGGATGATGTGACTCTCTGGGTTGAGCTTGGTGGATGTCAGCTCTGCTGCCATAGTGATGCTTGGGTTTGTTCTGATCTCAGATCCAAGTTCGAGGGATAAAGTTGAGGATTGAGTTTAGACATGAAGTGGAAAGTGGAGGGGAAAGAAATGCGGAGATGATGTCCAGTCACGAGATCCACATCGAGGACAAAGCATTGACCGCCTCCATTTGCGGTTATACTACACTCCTGCGGTCTTTGATTCTATTAAAGTTGATTGAAATGGGATGAATATAAAAGACTAAGGAGTGCCAAGGAGGCTTTGGACTAACGAAAGTATAAAATGGTCTGTAAGGTTGCACTCCGATACTCCATACATACAACTAAATATATATTACAGCCAATAGCTTCGGATAACATAACAAGCAAGTGCTACATGTACGTGATTCATTTGCTAACGTTACTCAGATTTTAAAAGAATGGTAGATTCAACACATAGGCAGCCTTCAATATGAAACTCTGGAATAGAACAAATTTCCCTTTTGACCCAAGACTCCGGAAATAGCAAAATATGGTACAGGAAAAGGACCTGACGGCCTTCCTGGAGTGCATCTAATCGCTGTCATCGCTATCATCCTGCTTGGACTTCCGGCGCTCCTTCTTTTCCTTCTTCTCCTTCTTCTTCTTCTTGCGCTCGGCCTTCTCCTCGGCTGTCTCGCCGTCGCGCTTGCGCTTCTTGTCTTCGACTTCCTCCTTCACGGGCTCGGGGGACTCCGCCTTAGTGGGCTCGGCCTCGGTCTTAGTCTCAGCGGCGGGTGCAACAGCGGAGGTTCCGGTGATGGGAAGGTTGAAGTCCTTGTACTCGCTCTTCCATTGGGCGGGTGTGGCCTCGTTGGTGCGGCCGAATTTCTGAGAGCAAGTTAGTACGTTGGACGAAAGAGAAGGCTGCTTAGCCACTTACATCGAGAGTTCCAGCGGTCTTCATCTTCTTCTTCTCGAGGGCAGTGGGTCCCAAGCCCCAGCGGCGGGGGTAAAGGTCACGCTCCATGATGCAACGCTTGACCTTGGCAACAACGCCGTGGTCGCAGGTGGTGAGCTCGACAGTGGACATCTGAGCGATACCAATGGCGATAGCCTCACCCTTGGTGGTCATGAGGACAACCTCCTCGTGGCACTCAATACCGGCCTCTGAAGAAAGAATTAGTAATGGTCAAAAAAAAAAAACTCAGGGGCAAGAAATTTACATACCGTAGCGGAGAAGACCAGGAATCATGAGCTTGGCACCGTAGCAGACGGCGTTGACAGCGCTGTCCTTGACGACAATACGCTTGTAGCCGGTGAGCAAAGTCTCCAGGGGGCTGATGACCTTGCGGAGGTAAGACTCGTCGCGGTTGTTGTCGTAGACCCACTGGGCGTCCATAACATCGTGCAAAGTGACCATACCAGGGCCCTCACCCATAGCTCCAGAGCGAACACGGCGAAGTTCCTGCATGTGGGCACCGACACCGAGGAGAAGACCCAGGTGGACACAGAGGGTACGGATGTAGGTACCGGCCTCACAGCTGACCCAGAAGACACCGAGGTGGCGCTCATTGTCGAACTCGTAGTTCTTGCTCTCGTGGATAGTACGGATACGGAGCTGGCGCTTGACAGCGGAGATCAGAGGGGGACGCTGGAAGAGCGCACCAGTCAAGGTCTCCAGAGCGCGGACGAATTGGGCTTCGCCACCGGGGATCTTGTCGTGGAGACGAATCACACAGACATACTCCTTACCGGCACCCTGCTGGGACTTGACCAGGCGAGTGGCACGGTCAATACAGACGATCAAACAACCGGTGACCTTGGGATCAAGGGTACCACTGTGACCAGTCTTCTCGGCTCTACAGAGGGGAATGTGGTCAGCAAAAGTGCGAAACCATTGAGGGGTTCTGATGGACTTTTATTTACCTGAGGATCCGCTTCATCCAAGCCACGACTTCATGACTGGAAGGGTTCGACGGCTTGTCAAGGTTGATGACACCGGAGCTGATGTATGACTTCAAGTCACGGCTCAGGGGAGAGGAGCCAGCAGGGATAGGAGTGAAGTGACCGGTCCGAACGAGCACTACAAAAAAAGTCAATGTCGGCTGGTCAAGCGTGGAGTTTTAAGGACAAGCGTACGCTTCTCATAGTTCTTAAGCAGAAGCGGCCAATCCGATGTATCAACGGAAGGAACGGACGCTTCAGGCTTGATGGCGTAGTCCATCTCCGAGGTCTTGACGACTGCCATTTTGTTGGTTGTCGTTGAAGGATGCGCGGTGAAAACCCCGAAAATTTGTCGAAGGAAATTTTGCGAGTGCGGCAGCTCCAGTACCCAAAGCAGTTTAGCGCCTGGAGAAGGCACCACGTGACCTGGAGTTCTCGACTTTTTACGCCTCCGATTCCAAGGACTTCCAATTTTGGAGAGGTTTTGCTGATCGCATAGATTAATTGAGAAAACAAGCCAATTGGTCAATATAGAGATACTCAAAGACGATTAACTACTGGAGTTCAATAAATCTGTTTTTGTGGGCAAACAATGCCCAAAACCGTGTGCTTATTGATTATCACTATCTATCTCAAGTCCATATGGGCACAATAAAAATCGAAACGTCTGCCAGGGCAAAGTATCTCCCATGCAGGTCGACAACGGCGCAGAGCATGTACGGCTCTCGATCTAACCTAGTCTTCGGCCAGCGCCTCTGCCGTTCCAAGAACTCGAAGAGGTCCAGCTGCTCCAGGATGATCCTGATGCCGACGAGGGCTCAGCCGGTCTTGGTGCGCGGCTCGCCGTTCCATATGCTCGGTATCCGCTGTTGGGGTCGTGGTCGGTGAAGTATCTCTCCACGAAGCGGGGCACAGGGATGAAGTTTCTTCCACCCCCGAAAGTCGGGTAGATGCGTGTGAGGAAATCATAAGTATGGGCAGCGACAATTCCTGTGAGATCTGACAGCACGTGCTCCCATCCGTTCATCACCATGCCGACGACAATCATTGCATACGGCAGGAGTACCACCGGGATGTCGATGATCCAGAACCTCGTCTTTGTTCCTCGGTTCGTCTGGGAGAAGGTGTAGACAAAAGCCATGATCAAGGCTGAGTTCAAGTCAGTGTCAGCCTGAGAATTAAACAAGGTACGGCAAGCTTACGTGACAGGAGGATAGGCTGTCCCAGATAACCACCTGCAGTGAGCTTTGGAAAGTTAGCAAATTTGGAAGACATTGTTGGACTACCAGGATGACGAGTAAATAGGATGTAGATGGTATTGGAAAAGATAGATGATGTATATAGAAATGTAGGGCACCTCCGATACCGACGCGATATGAAATCACACCAGTAAGCTCGAAGGCAATCCCACCATGCCCACACCTGCACAACACCTGAATTTTGCGAATTATGATGGTGTCGCACAGATGCAGGGGTGCTTTCCCTCGCCTTCAGGAACCGAATTCAGCTAGATTTCGAAGCTGGGCGGGCAGTTATAGCGAGGGATTGGATTTGAACGCGAACGCAGATGAAAAAAAAAGCAGATTCTACCGAATCACTCACCATGATGCTGAAAGCTACAAATAGGAGATAAATGAAGAACTCTCCGGGGGCCATGCTCCTCTCCGCAGCGCTGCCATAGCGGTACACTGTCCGTACATTAGCACTTTGATCAGGTCAAGTCAATGTGATACCGAGGCATCATACTGAGAATTAGATCAAATATGAAACTTAATCTGGGTCCGGTTAGTAGAAATGGGGTGACCAGCCGAAAGATCTGCGGACGCCATGAGAATATCAGGCTCGGCACGAATAGCGCCCAATAGAAGCTCACTAAGCCGCTATACATCAAAGTGGATTGAACCACAGTCAAGGCTGTAAGGGTCCTGAATGGCAAGTCAGTGATGAGAGCTTGGGATCAGCGAATAGAATCTGCATACCTAATGACCGGGGGAGCTGCCCAGAAGGCATCCATCTTGAGAAAGAATAAGATGCTTGATGGTTAATTGATCACGACTTAGATCATTACAGCCGATCACAAAATAGCCAAATTACTGTGTGGTTGAAGAAAGAAAGAGAAGGACAGGTGGAAAGAAAAAGGTGTGCAAATCTAACTTCGGGGGAGTTTCTCCGATATCCGTTGTTTACGTAACTACCTTGTATCCATCGGCGGATGGATTGTTCTATCTGCTTCGACAGCTTCGCACTCCTAGCTGTTATTATTATTTCAAGTTATTTCCCGGAAAGATACTGTTCGGATGTGCTGTCGCATGTGAATAGTGTATAATTGTGGAATATAATTGGGTATCATTCCGACCTCGTCCGTGCAGTACCCCGAACAGCCAATCCTCCATCTGGACCTTCAATCCACACATCCCAAGCCCCAGTGTCATTTTTAGGCTTGCCACAGATCACCAGCTCCTGTTCAACAAAAAGAGGCGCTATATTCTTATATTCAAAGGTACTGATGCAGAGATTCAATCTACTCAGCTGTTGCTGAAGCACACTCAGCATAAGCGTGAGTGTCAACGGACCGTGCACCAAAAGATTTGGGTATCCCTCCTGGTTCTGAGTATAGCCCTTGTCAAGGTGGATAGAATGAGCATTGAAAGTCAGCGCGGAGAATCGGAATAGCAGTGCCTTAGTAGGTATGAGGGCATGGCGGAATGTCGCATCGGAAGGAGCTTCATTGCGCCAGAATCATTAGTACATTTGACATCATATTCAAGGGTTGGAAGTATATCCTCACGTTTCACAGTCCTGACAGGCTTTCCGAATTGCGCTTTATCGGCTTCGATTTGAGCGCTGGTCTTTAGGCGCATGAAAATGAGGTCCCGGTTCTCAATGACTGACGATTCCCCCGCATCGTCTTCGTTCTCTTTCCATATCCGGTCCCAGGTCTGGTCGGCGGTTTCTTGTTCGGGAACATTGCCGACGCGACGCTCGATGGTGACAATCACTTTTTGGTCCCCCTCGCGGCCTTTCACTGTCACATTGCGAATGGATTCTATGCAGACTGCGCGGCTGCCATCCAGAGGCGGACTGCGCACAGGGAATCTTAGATTTCCACCTGCCCAAAGGCGCCGATTAAATGGTTCGCCCGGCGTGTGTAGCGTATCTGTGCAGTCCGGGAGTAGTTGGGACAAGGTCACCTGCGGCGGGAAGTAGATTAAGTGATGACCGGCCGGGAGTGGGGACGGGTTCTGTAATGACGGTAAAGTCGCATAATCCGAGGAGCCCTGGGATTGTGGAAGAAGATCTCGGAGTGTAAGGTTCAGGAGATGCGAGGGTTGGGGGTGCAGATAATCGTAAGTCAACGGAAGTTTCCTTGTGGTCAGTTCATGATGCAACCGCTCGGAGAGCGAGGAGTAAGCTCGATATGCATGACGCCCGCCTCGAAAAGAGATCAAGGGTCGGAGTGGATTTGTCTTCATGAGCAAAGACACCGACTCCAGTGCTGAATTGGGCGATTTGATAATCGCAAGTTCACTTGAAGCAATAGATTCATCCCGCGTTTGATTTGTTTGTCTGTCGCTCATTGCGGGATTCAGCCACACCGCTCGCAGATCCGATGTCGCCTGTCGATGAGATGACAAGGGAGAAACCCATCCATACCACAATCACAATGGCTTGCCTGAAAGTCGCCTTCCTAGGGCCGCTGGGGTCCTTTTCGCACCAGGTACAAATTTATCCCATATCCCTGCAAATGCAACTTAGCTTGATGATTGATCCTTGCTATAGGCTGCCGCAGAGTCTTTTTGCAACCTACCCGCCGATCTACAACCTGAAGTCTCATTCCCAGATGCCTTCGCCGCTCTCCAAAAGAAAGAAGTTGACTACGCCGTGATTCCGTGCGAGAACTCAACCAATGGCTCTGTAATGCAGACATTGGACCTCCTGGCAGACCGGAATGGTTTATATAAAGACGTGAAAGTCTGCGGAGAATATTACTTGACAGTGCACCACTGCCTAATGGTGCGCAAGGGCACATACCCCGGTGGTTGGGCAGACTACGACGGCTCGATAACCAAGCTATACACACACTCGCAGGCATGGGGCCAGTGCGAAAGTTTCTTGACCAAATATTTCAAGGGCGTCGAGAGACAGGACGTCACATCCACATCCAAGGCAGCGGAGATCGTCTCTAAGGAGACAACGGAACGAGGCGCTGCCATTGCCAATCGCTTTGCGGCAGAACAACACGGGACGGACATTCTCGTGGAAAACATCGAGGACAGAGCGGACAATACGACCCGTTTCCTGATCTTCAGAAATGTGCGCGATGAGCGGACTGCCCAGATCGAGCTCGGGCTGCCGAACCCGCCTACGGTGGAAGGCGAGCCTGCCCTTGAAGCCACGCACAAGACTTTGATTACTTTCACGATTGATCATTCATCTCCCGGTGCATTGGCAAATGCGCTGTTGATCTTCAAGGCCCATGGCTTGAATCTTACGAGCATTAACACGAGGCCGAGTCTAAAGAAGTCGTGGCAGTATATCTTTTTCGTTGAGTGTGGATGGACACCCTCGGATGTGAACAAAGAGGCAGTCCACAAAGCCCTCGATGATTTGCGTCAAGTCACTGAGACGTGTAAGGATTTGGGTACCTGGAAAGATCAGCTAAGGTCAAGCAATGCTTGACTGACTGACCGGTCTTTTGCTTGAGAGCAAGGCATTGACGATTTTGCAAGCGCGATGAGAACATGTCATACATGTTGCAGATATCCGATTTACTCTACGAATAAATGAAACAAAAATGTACGCACTGTCGATGATATGGACAAAGTGTACATACACCGCAAGATAAAACAGAAAACTTAATAAGAATAAATAGCACCTTCTATGAACCCTGTCGGGTGCTTTTTTTTATAACGAGCAAATAACGAACGAAGTACCAGAAAATGTCATTCAGAGATGAAACGACAGAACTGGCGGAGACATAAAACAATCCAACGCCGTCCGGCTTACATAGAGTAAGCAGTGCAAGCAGCGGTGGATGACCAAACGTTGCAGATTACTGCACCCAACCTTTCAAATTGCAATTTAAACCTCATCTTCATCTCAGACACTGAGGCGAGCCCAGTGTGCGTATCTTGGAGCTTGGACGACACTGTACACAAACATTAGAGCTAAACCTGAGTGATAACCTAGCTGGATGTCTCACCTCTGAGCAGCTTCACGGGGCGTGGACCAGGCCTTTTTTGGTTATCCTTCACGGATGCCTTAGTTCCATCGCGGGAGCCGCCTGTATGATCCACAGGGCGAGCCGTCAAAAGACTCGCCGCGGGAGCTTCTGGCCGTTCATCCTCGCTCTCTGCGAGGGGGCAATACCGTCAATCTGTAGAGGTTCTTGTTAACATACACATAGAAAACGGAAAACTGGAAGAACATACCATCGTAGAACTCGTCATCGTCGCTGTGATCGGCAAGCTGTTCAAAGTTGACCTTGTATCGGAGAATGGCACCGATACCACCGAAACCCTTGACGAACTGGTTTCCTTCGCCGGATCGATCAGACACGAACTCCAGGTTGGCACCAAAGTCCTTGTAGGCCTCGGCAAGCCATTCGAGGAAAGAGCCTGACTCGATAACCTCCATATCCATTCCGGTTTCCTTGTCTTGGAAGATATCCTTGTTGGCTTCCTGGGCCTTGGTCGTGTGGACGATCACCTGAGCGCCTGCGGAGTTCTTCATGACCCAGCGAGTGATTTCCAAGTTCTCGTGGACGATCAAGATTTCGGCTGCACCAAGCTCCATTGCCTTGAGGGTATCTTCAATACCATAGCAGACCTTGCCGGTGTCTTGGCTGATCTCCTGGAAGTACTGGTTGATAAGCTTCTTCTCCTGAACGAACTTGACGTTGCTCAGGGTCTCGCCAGCCAATTCGATGGCCTGGTTGAAACCGTTCTCGCCACCGTAGGAAACATCGACAATCTTGATAACCTTGGATTGCAGACGACCATCGAACAGGTCGGACTGGTTAAGATCGTTCTTGAAATCGGCGGAACCAGCCAACACAATACCGGCGACATTAGGCTTGTCGTTGGTGATGTAGTTCTGAACAGCCAATTCGGCGATCTTGCGCACGTAGTTGTGGCGCTTTTCCTCACGGAGACGCGAGAAACGCAGAGCAGATTGACCACCACGGCCCTGTATGGATCAGTATGGATGAACATCGTACTCAATCAGTCGGGACACTCACGTGCTTCTTGGGCAGATCAACGGTGAGACGCTGA